TCATATGGGGACCATAGAAAAGGGGTGAGTTTCATAAACTCAGTAAGGAAAATAGTATTTAAACATTATTAAAATTTTGAAGGTACTTAAACTTTTAAAACAATATACCGTTAATCGCTTACCGTCGAAGATCATCGCATCGAAGTCTATTTCAATGATAAGAAAACATTTTCATTTTTTTAGAAAATCATTAATATCAAAACATTCATATCAATTATACATAAAATAGAGAAAATCAAACGAATATGAATCATGCTATGACTTCTTATTTTGTCTTTTACCTATTCGTCGCGCGAAACCGTTCCGACCTATATCTACTGAGAGCAATACAACTTTCCAACTACTACTATGCAATGACAAAGTTCTTTTTCTTTTAACACATTTACGTATTGTTAAACCACAACACATTTATAGGTTGCCAAAACATGACACGTTCTACGACAACGGCCGTGCTAACTACAGTGGTTCTACATGTAAACTATAGTCGCGGTTGTACGTCGCCACAGTGACCCCTACAATCACATCGCGTAACCACTCTCGTAAGAGGGTACGCCGTCATTCATATGGAGCGGGTACTCTCACATTGTTTCAAACCAAATGGAGAAGAAACAGTAGCCTAAGAGAAAATAGCCTAACAAATTATATCATTTTAAATGTCATAGATAAACATTACGGTGTTAGGTCTACATGTCCGTTTTCATAAAATATCCAAGTCACTTAATGCAAAAATTATATTATTTAATGCATTACAAATATTCCATTATAGCCGTACCGTTTAATAAATTTTCAAGCTTTAAGAAAATAGCCGTCCGGCTGGTTGCGTGCGCGCAGGCACACGTTTGATTGGTTGTGTGCTCGCGCATGTGAGCGGCTCGTGGGGCCCGTGCGGGCGGGGAAGTTTTTCCACAGTTCTCTCTTTTTGAGTACGGGTTTTTGTCAGTAAAAAAAATCAAATGTATTCAAGTGAGATTTTCTCGAATGTATCAATAAGCTAGACCCATGCTACGAGTTGTTTCATGCCCTAAATAAACTCGAACACTCAAGAAATCCGTTGGACATGCGGATTCACATCTCTTACACCCAACACAGTCCTCTGTTCTTGGAGCGGAAGCAATTTTCTTAGCTTTACATCTGTCCCAAGGTATCATTTCTAATACATCTGTGGGGCATGCTCGGACACATTGAATATATCCTATACATGTATCATAAATTTTTACTGAATGTGACATAGGATCTATAAATTTTTGAATGTCATAAATTTTCAATTTAGTAAACTTGTAAATGAATTATATATTTAAACACTAGATGAATCAATGATTTATTTTACCAGAAATTTTCTAATCGATTTATTTCTGGATCAACTAATAAGAGAAGGCCAAGATACTTTGATTTCTTACGTTTTCACAAATCTAATCTATTAGGTTACAACGTATTATACATGTGAATTCTCAAATTGAAGAATATTATCATTAATGCTGTTTTTCTCTATTTTTTTATGAAAATTAAAAGTTAGTGATAAATTTACATAAAAAAAATAATTTAAGTAAAATTCAAAATTATATAGAAATTTAAAACATCGAATTAAATAGTTAACGGCCTTAGGGTCAGAATAAAAGGAGTTTTACATAACCATAATTAAGCATGA